GGGTTGTTTTAGAGGGGGGGGGGGGTGGGGGGGGGGATAAAGGAAGTTTTTTGTTTACTTTATGAGCCTTGTGCATCACATAGTATCTGGATTTGGCACTTGTTTAGACTGCCCTAAATGAGCCTTCAGTGGTACTTTAATGTAAATCTAAAAATGAGATAGCAAATTATGTTTTAGAGATAGCTGAGCTTCATACATCCATTAGGAAGTTACTACTGTTTGTAGGATATTGGGCTTAAAACATTTATTTTATACAAGCTGTAAAACAGTTTGCTGCTCAATGCAATTAGTGGACATGAAGCCAGCTGGGTGCAGCAAAATAACTCTTCCTCCAGTCACAGCTTTGTCAAATGAATGAAAAATTCCATCTTGTTCATATTTCCACCAATCATTTTGTTGTTTTTTTCTAAGCAGGTCTGATATTGCTGCTATGTATCCACGGCTCATGTACCCAGCTGCAGGCCTGGATGTCATTGCTATGGAGTAGTCACAGTTCTGGTCCCTATATGTAAACAGGGGTGGATAGGTGGCCAGTAGTAGTGCCTTAAAGTGAATCCATCTGCAGACTTAATAGCCTTTTGAGGAGGCTCCAAATGTAGTGGCTCTCTCTCTGATCTGCTGGTCAGTTGAACCTCCACTTCTGGAATGGTAAACCAGAACCTAAAAAACACCCCAAATCTGGATTGAATACTTGCAAGTCGGGGAGGGCTGCTACATTCAGAGGCTCCTCAGGAAACTATGGCTCAGGACCTAAGGCTCAGTTCAATAAGCTATAGGACATGTATTATTGCCAAAAGGATCATTCATTAGTTGAGGTTACATAACTATTATTTTTGGAAAAAAAAGGATAGTCATGGCAAATAATGATCATTATAGATTAGTGAACCGAGCCTATATTTCCTTCTAACTGAAATTTGGTAATTTGCCGTGAATTCTTTATGTGCTCCCCTCCTTCAGCAGCCCTGTCTACAAAACATTATAACAGTTGACAGGACTGGGTTGCAGTACCAGATTTTGCCAGCAGTGGGCACTGCTGTTGGTTACATCTGTAGTCACCTTTCCAGAATCAAATCATTCAAGTGTGAGAGTCATGGTCAGAGGCTTGGGAACTTCCATTCAAACCACTTTAAATGAGGCCCGTTGTGCAGAGTTCATATATACTGTATATAAATATATTACAGCATATGGAAAATTCAAACAATTGCCCGGGTCTAGCACTATGCAGAATTATACACAACATGCATTACCATAATACATACATCCTTCGCAGGTACGTATGTACTAAATACATGAATTCTTACATGTGTCATTTCATCTCATCTCCCATCTGCTGCCATGTAGATGTAGATTACATTGTAAAACATTAACTCCATAGACACCCACTAAAGATAGTCAAACGTCTGCCATTCAATGCATACATTCCATGTTCTGTATGGATACCACCCTCATACAATCTGCATGACTCTATACAGTCCAATAACAAGGAATCACTTGTCTGTAACTTACAGTATACACGTTTACTCACGATGGGCCTCATTTATCAAAATGGAAGTGTTTCAAATGTTGTTCTGACTAACTGTTAAGATTCTTCCTGTTGCTTTAACAGGCAGTACATGTATGCAAGGAAGAGTCTTAATGGTTGCTTAAGGCAACACAGACAATTTGCATCTGAGATACTTTGATAAACCTGGCCCAGCGACATTAATTGTAATTCAACTAACTGTAGTCATCAGTTTATACTGAAAATCTATGTGAATGCATATTGTGAATGATAATTTTGTATTCTCTATTTCTTCATTCTCTTCCCTTCTCTTCCTGTCCCCTGAACCTTCAATCATAACCCTCATCTCTTATCCACCCAAATACGCCTGGGACGAATATAAATCATTCTCTGTCTTGATTCTACTATTTATCAAACCTCTCCATTCTACCCATGCTCCAACTTGCCCTTTCTTCCAATCCATTGCCCCCCCTTCCTCCTTAGGACTTGGAAAATGACTACAAATGTGTATGTCCTCGGGGTTTCTATGGCAAGAACTGCGATATTAGTGCCATGACCTGTGCAGATGGTCCATGCTTCAATGGGGGCACATGTGTAGAGAAGAGCATCGTGGGAGGTTATGTCTGTCGCTGCCCTGTCAACTACCATGGCTCCAACTGTGAAAAGAAGATCGATCGTTGTACCAACAATCCCTGTTTGAATGGTAGGACTGGAATCTACCTGTGCAGTTAATGTGATCCCAGCTAAGCAAAATATTTTTTGAGATGGCTGAGCTAAGCAAAATATTTTTTGAGATGGCTGAACTAAACTTTTATATCTTATATAGCAAACTGCCTTTAATTTGAGTTTAATTGCAGTCCGCACTCTTATTTTTAGGTGAGGTGGGGAAGGGTAAGAGCTTATGTTGAGTTTTTATTTCTGTGTTCCCATTGGGGAGATTTACCCCCCTGCTTCTGCTCTGATAAGCACGGTTACTGGGACAGCACTGCGACACCTAGTGGAATATCCCCTTCAATTTCTATCACAGTGACTACTGTCAATGGAACAGGAAATGAGGGGTAATTCAAAAACAGCAATAAAATCTTGACAGATGTTTTAACCTTTTGCCACCTTATTAAAAAAAGGCAGAAAGTCCTGTTTGATTTAGAATTAAAAACCTGTCAGTCTGGGAAAACTACAATTGGTGGTAAACGTTAAAATAGTGGACGCAATGAGTGATAGAGGAAAGAAGGAAATTTCGGGAAGCCTAAACAGTTTATGCCCATCATCCACTTTGATTAATACTTCTCTAAAGTAATCTATGTTATTGCAAACAAACAGAAAAGCTATCCAGTCACTGTCATTGGATGAAAATGTATAGCAATGTAGCGGCTGATAAAACACCATTACGTTCTTATATTGTTAACAAACAAAACTTTGTATAAGCAGTCACCAAATTACCTTGACCCTATCTAGAAGGAACTCTGGAGGGGAATTTATCAAAGCAATTGCAAAAGTTTTGGCCTCTCGTATCATTTTTCTAAATGTGCAAAATTTGTCTTTTAACATGTGCGCCTGTTTTGACCAGAGCTTGCACTACTTTTCCAACTGGACGTGATTTGCGCCTGTTTTCATCTGCACTTGTTCTCCGGCTGTCTGAAACTGGAGCATCATCTAAGAAAACAATCGCAACTTAAGAAGTCCCCATGACCACTTCTTCAAGAAGTGACAGTTATGCTTTTTGTCTGGAGTTACGAGTCTTCTTTCCTGGAGTCTATTTAACCTCATTCATCAACAACATTACACTAGCATCATAAATCTGCAAAGTGCATGAAATATATTCCGTGCAAGTTCAAACACTCGCAATTGCTATGATAAATTCCCCCCTCTGTTTCTTCTTGACCCTGGCTATTAGGTCAACTTTGGATCAGTCACTCAAGCAGTTATCAATAGATAGTTGACATTTCTAGAAGAAAGACATACTGTACTCATTTCATGCAGTTATACTGTTGACAGCTTTTGTAGGTGTAGTGTTTATTTATGATGGTGCAGATATACATGAGTGGTGGCTGCGGGGAGCTGAACACAATGGAAACAGGACCTGTAGAAGAATGGCTGATGAAGAATAACAGCCAGTCTGCCTTAGGCTTTACCATGGTCTAGCAGTGCCAGCTCCTGCAAGTAAAAACTGTGCAGACCACAAGTAGACTAAGCAGTAGCAGTAAATGGAGCTTTCAATATAAAGGTAAGAGCCCAGGACTTACTAGTACCAAGAAATTACTAGTACTAGTACAGACACTAAAAGTGCAGTTATTCTTCCAGTGAGATTAAAAATATGACTACATCTGTTATTTGCAACTGCATTCTTTCAATCCAAAATATTTGATAATTTACCAAATTGACTCACTAAAAGAATGTTTTAACGGTGCTAAACGTTCTGTTTTATCCCATACTAACACAATTATTCTGGCTAAATTTAGGAGGCCACTGCCTGGATGTTGGACGTAACGCAATATGCAAATGTCGTCAGGGCTTTACCGGAGCCCGATGTGAGACAAATATTGATGATTGTGCCAGTTACCCGTGTGCCAATGGTGGGACCTGTGTGGACAGTATCAACACTTACACTTGCTCTTGCACTCTTGGCTATGGAGGAAAAGACTGCACTCAGCGGGTTGATGCCTGCAGCTCCAGGCCCTGCTTTAATGGAGCCACCTGTTACACCCATTTTAGTGGCCACGTCTGCCAGTGTCCTACCGGGTATATGGGCTCTAGATGTGAGTTTCGAGTCCAGGAGCCAACTTCAGCTTCCTACTATGCTGATCCCCCTTCCAACGTGGCTCTGGCTGTATGCTTGGGTGTGATCACCTTTTGCTTGCTAGCCTGCGGGTTGGTGCTGCTGATGAGAAGCATCAAAAAAGGCCTTAAAGATCAGAAGGGGATAGTGACCAATGACCTGGAGCAAAAGAACAACTTAAAAGAGAAAGAGCCTTTCCTTATCTCTCCACCCCATTTTAAGATGCCCAATCAAGACTGCCTGAGGGAAAAGTCCCGGAGCAAGCAGAAGCTCCTGCCAACATCTGACATGGAGGAGGAGAGAGATGGGCAACGGTGAGTGATTACTCTTCTGATGCTGATAAAGGAGAACCCTAGTGAGGAGAAAAAAACTCCAATAAACATATGTAATACTAGGTCATATGGACCAGATCATTCCTTTTTAAACACAAGCTCCTGAGGTCCATGTTGTCAAAGTTAAACATTTCAGATGTGTGAAATTCTAGAGTGCCTATGGAAATGTAGAAAGAACCTTAGCTGGATTAAAATACATAGGGGTCTATTCACAAAGCTATTCCTTCGGCTAGCTTTGGTTGTGGGAGCCCTTCGGTTTAGTCGAACTGAAGGTCTGCTGTACGGGCTATTCACTATAGCCCGTACAGCTGCCGAAGGCGGCCAAGCGGCTCAGCCGAGATGAAGTGGCAGCCGAAGCGGGGCGAGCGCATGCCTCGCAAATGACAGCTGGGCGTACGTTCAGTCGTGATCTCACGGCTGGCTCCGTCCAGTTGTAATGACAGATCAGCATCCGCAAATGACCAGGGGACACTGAACTGTCATTAAAACAATGACAACTGGGCAGAGCCAGACGTGACATCATGGCCGGCTCCGCACAGTTGTTATTCATTGGCCAAGACCTGCTAGAAAACCCTAGCAGGTGCCGGCCAATAGGAATCAGTTTTCACTGCTAGCTCCGCCCAATTGTTTTTTTTAAATTATTTATTTTTTTAACTTTATTTTTCGATTTAACATTTATTTACATTTAAAAAAAATATTGTTTCAACTTTTTTTTTTGCTCTTTTCATTGAATTGCTGTTCTGCTTGGTACCATGGAGGTACTGAGCAGAATAGCCGAGCCGAATGTCGCCGTTCGGCCCCTATGAGAATAGGGGCGAATGGCTGCAAGTGAGTTGCCGGAGCTTCGGCTCAGCCGATCCAGATGTTGGATCGGCTGAGTCGTAGACCTTCTGCACTTTGGCTCAGCCAAACATGCAGAGCATGTTCGGCTGACTGAAGTGCAGCCGATGTATGACTGATTTCAGCCGATGTACGCCTGAAATCAGCCGTACAAGCCTGAAGTGAATAGCCGAACAGCGTTCGGCTCACTTCACTTCGGCTGGGTTATTCACTCGGCTGCCTTCAGCAGCTTTGTGAATGACCCTCATAATTTCCTTCATGGAAAATTGAATCTTAAAGTTACGAATCAACCAGTCTAGTCTGGGAGCTCAAAAACAGTTCCACGGAATACATGCTTTTACTGGAGAGTTTTGAAAACATTAGATGTTGGACGTTTTCTGTTCAGTTAATTCTGGTCAGGCAAAGGAGCAGCAGCTCATAACAACCAATAAGAACCTATCCTGTATCTCAGACAACAGCAAATTGATGTCTGGTTGGTTTTGCACTTTGCTTTTATTAACTCAAACCACCAGTTTTACTGGGTCCAACCCTCCATATCCATATTTCAGACAAAACTGTTGTGATTGTGAAGCTTTTTTGGAGCTGGTGTCATAAACTGAGGTAACACCTCCCATTTACAACTAAATAATGAATTGAACTACACTAATCAGACAGAAGTGCAGAGATAATATTATGGAATACGTATTACTGAATTCTGTTTTATAATTATTCATTCTTTTATCAGTACTGTAAAAATGTAGGACGGTATAAACATTGGTAAGCAGAACTGCCACACTATTTTACTCTGTTATTTGTTACTTAATCTACCTCTATAATAACTATGTTGACTTCTCTCTTAGGACAAAGACAGATTCTGGAAACTGTAATGCCTTGGGGAAGCACCAAGACGCTCTGTGTCACTCTGTATACCTGCTTCCCGGATCCTCAGAACAGTGTGTCTTTGCCACTGAGGTAACAATCCATTCTTTCTAGGCATTAACATATTCAGTAGTTATGTGCTCCCTGCTCATGCACAGGGGACTGATTGTGAAAAACAACAGCAAGGCTGGGGCAGCAGATTAAAAAAATTGTAGGATATTTGTAAAACCCATAAAAACATTTTCTTCTATTGAGGAACACAGGAAATCTTTCACCTTTTGGTTATACTGCTGCCTACAGGAGGACTGGAAACTAGCAAACAAAAAACTACTGCAGGCAGGATAACCCCTTTTACTATCAACATACTTTAGTTTTGTAGCAAAGCAGTACGGAGAGCATGATCCTAAACACAAAGGGGTGGGACCTGTGCCCCTCAATGGACTCCAAGAAAAGGATTTTATGGTGAGTTCAAAAATCCGATTTTCTTTCTTGTCCATTGAGGGACACAAGATATCTTTCACCTTCAGGTCTTCCAAAAGCAGTCTAACTGAGGGGTGGACAACACAACAAAGAAATGCTAACAGTCCCAAGGAAACAACAGAGGATAGGGAACTGCCTGCAGCTCAAAGAGCCACCTGAAGGACCTTACACAGCAGATAAGGTCATAAGATGCACCTTGTAGAACCTAGAAATGGTGTGAACAAAAGACCAGTTGGCAGCCTTGCAAGTGTGGGAAACAGTTGCTCGTTGTCGAAAAGGCCAGGAAGCACTGACAGTATGGTATAGTGCACCTTGGCAGGAAAGGGTGGAATCTGATCCTTGAGACCATTAATTTAGAGGATGGTCTGTCTGAGACTAAAGATGGTGCATCTGGGGGCATCCAGGATGACAAAAAAAGGAATTAATTTGTAATAGAAAGCCATTACAATTCAGCCAAGGAAGACGCAGAGGGATGCATACACATCCAGGAAAGATTGCCTCAACAGAAAACTATTTTACATTCCATATAACAGTCCACAATTGCAGATCTCAGTGCTCGCGTGCAATATTGCAATCCAAGTATGCAATCCAGTGACAGGCTGCAGGATCACTCACAGCATTAATATCTCTTTATTGTAACACAGCCCAAGCCATATCCAGACAAAACAGACTCCCGCAGGGGGCGTGACATCCCTAAAATTACTTAATTAGTTAACAAATCACACGTGTAAATGATTGTTCCAAGACAGCAACTCATCGTGTAGTGAAAGTTGGCAGCCCCGGAACATGAAGTCAGCTGCAGCTATATTCCTGTGCCAACAAGGTCATTTTACAACTTTTTGGGTTTAGCAAACTATTATTACATACACTATTTTGGCAAAAGTATTGGGACACCCCTGCAAACCACTGGATTCAGGTGTTCCATTCACCTCCATGGCCACAGGTGTATAGAATCAAGCACCTAGGCATGCAGACTGTTTCTACAAACATTTGTGAAAGAATTGGTCGCTCTCCTGTGCAATAAGTCCATCCGTGAAATTTCCTTGCTACTAAATATTCCGCGGTCACCTGTTAGTGGTATTATAACAAAGTGGAAGCAACTGGGAACAACAGCATTTCAGCCATGAAGTGGTAGGCCACGTAAAATGACAGAGCAGTGTTAGCGCATGCTGAAGTGCACAGTTCGCAGAAGTCGCCAACTGTGTGCATGAGTCAATCGCTAGACCTCCAAACTTCGTGTGGCCTTCAGATTGGCACAACAACAGTGCGTAGAGAGCTTCATGGAATGGGTTTCCATGGCCGAGCAGCTGCACTCAAGCCTTACATCACCAAGGGCAATGCAAAGCGTCAGATACAGTGGTGTAAAGAACGCCGCCACTGGACCCTAGAGAAGTGGAGATGTGTTCTCTGGAGTGATGAATAACGCTTCTCTGTCTGGCAATCCAATGGACATGTCTGGGTTTGGCCGCTGCCAGGAGAACGATACTTGCCTGACCGCACTGTGCCAAGTGTAAAGTTTGGTGGTGGGGGGATTATGGTGTGGGGTTGTTTTTCAGGGGTTGGGCTTGGCCCCTTAGTTCCAGTGAAGGGAACTCTTAAGGCATCAGCATACCAAGACAATTTGGACAATTTAATGCTCCCATCTTTGTGGGAAGTTTGGGGATGGTCCCTTCCTAATCCTTCATGACTGCGCACCAGTGCACAAAGCAAGGTCCATAAAGACATGGATGAGCGAGTTTGGGGTGAAGCAACTTGACTGGCCTGCACCTCAACCCGATAGAACACCTTTGGGATGAATTAGAGCGGAGACTGCAAGCCAGACCTTCTTGTCCAGCATCAGTACCTGACCTCACAAATGCGCTTCTGGAAGAATGGTCAAACATTCCCATAGACACACTCCTAAACCTTGTGGACGCCTTCCCAGAAGAGTTGAAGCTGTTATAGCTGCAAAGGGTGGACCAACTCAATATTGAACCCTACGGACTAAGACTGGGATGCCAATAAGGTTCATGTACGTGTAAAGGCAGGCGTCCTAATACTTTTGGCAATATAGTGTATATAACAGCTGCTGCTATGTTTTTTCATGAGCATGCCTAGTACTGCACACTACAATATACTGTAAGCTGTACAACGTATTCCACTCGCTTTAATTCCTGTTTTCTCCTTCTTCAGGTCTAACCCTCCTCAAACACAAGAACATGACCTCCATCTGTACAGTTACAGGAAATACTACCTTTCTCTTTACACCTTTATAAAACAAGCTTTTATTTATTGAAATATGTGGACATGTATATATTTATACAGATGTATATATATTTTTATATTTATTATCTGCACTGCTGCTAAAAAAAAAGAACTGCAGTAAAAAAAAAGAACTCCTTTCAAGATACTCCAAAGACAAAAATTTCAAGTCTCCATCTGCTGGAGTCTGTAGAATAAAAGAAAGACACTTCTTGTTCTATGTAACAAGACTGTAAAAGAGACCAAAACCTCAAATCGGTTAAAGAGATGAACACCTCATCGTCTCCAGCTTTGGCGATTCGTGTCAACATAAGACTGATGGACTTTTGCTTTATTTATTCGGGAAGCGTCGAGCACGTCAAGGGTGCTGGTTTTGATCCAAAGTGTTTTAATTTATAGACTGTATATATGTTTATAGCCTTCTTACCTTTGTAAAAAAAAACAAAAAATTTAAAAAACTGAATTATTAAATGTATATTTATGCCACCATTAAAATACTCTTTTGGTTATGTAGCCGTGTGCTTAGGAAACGTATGATTTGCTGTAGGATAGCGTGGAAAAAAAAGTTTTTCGTGCATTTTAAAACTAAAGAGTTCCAAGCAAATATATAAATGTTCTTTTAATCACCTTATGTAATTCTTAAGGTGTGGAATAATTTGTTAATCTAGACCAGCCATTGTCAACCCCAGGGTCCCTCCAGAGGTTGTTAGGGGTTTCTTTGAAAAGTGTCTGATTGACCTCCCATCTGATGTTGTCTGCATAATTCCAAGTCCAACGGCACTTAAGAGAATCAGCAGCATGACTTCAGAGATCTTTTTTAGCTGTCGTTAAAGGTGGCATTGTGACCACCACTGTAAGGGGGGCGTTCTTCCAACTGACCACCAATGTGTCAGACCTTCTTCCCACTGGCCACCAATGTCTGAGACCTTCTTTCCACTGGCCACCAAAGTCTGAGGCCTTCTTCCCACTGGCCACCAATGTCTGAGGCCTTCTTCCCACTGACTACCAATGAGTGAGACCTTCTTCCCACCGACCACCAATGTGAGACTATTTTTCCACCAATGTGTGAGACCTTCTCCCCACTGACCACCAATGTGAGACTATTTTCCCACCAATGTGTGAGACCTTCTCCCCACTGACCACCAATGTGAGACTATTTTCCCACCAATGTGTGAGACCTTCTCCCCACTGACCACCAATGTGAGACTATTTTCCCACCAATGTGTGAGACCTTCTCCCCACTGACCACCAATGTGTGAGACCTTCTTTCCACTGGCCACTATTTCCTGAGACCTTCTTCTCACTGGCCACCAATGTGTGAGACCTTCTTTCCACTGACCACCAATGTCTGAGACCTTCTTCCCACTGGCCACCAATGAATTCATTTTAGCAGGGATTTCCTGAGACCTGACAATTACTTCAAAGGTTCCCCTGGGGTACAAAGGTTGTGAATGGCTGATCTAGACAACATAATTACCTGAATTTACCTTTATATTCATTTGCCTTGCCTGCTTTGCATATATTACAGTGGGCATGATACTGGTAATCCAAAGAGAAAGAAAGAGTGGTGCTATGGAGTTAGTAGCATTGCAGAACACTGTGAACCCTCTTCATGATAGGCAGTCATATAGCACGGTATGGGTAGGGGAACCACAAGACTATCCTTGTTACTTTAAAAACTGTTGGCAGGTAAACCGTGTTTTTATTTGCGTATTTTAGCTGTGTATTTACCTCGCAGACCTGTGCTGTCCTTTAAAGTGTATGTCCAATATGAAAAAAACTGCTCAACTAAAGTAGAAAGCAATTTAGATTTAATGACTAAAGTGCTTCTGATGTTCTCCCTTACTGTGATGGTAAACATGTCTGTTGATCCTGCCAGTTTACCAGTGTAGAGATCACTTCCTGTTTTAAGCTGACAACGCTGTAAGCATCCTTTTACGTTTCAACTCACCTTTTGCTGAGTGCTACCACAGCAGGATTACAAGTCTGCAGCTGTGTTTTAATGTTGCAGCCTCTACGGTCAGCTTTGTCACACTGGAGAAAGAGGATTGTTCTTCCCATTAGGTCGCACTCCTCTTGTCTGGTGAATGACAATATAAGGTAGTATCTCACCTACAGCAGTGGGAGGGAAGCAAGGGTCTGCTGGGAGTTTGAGCCTTAAGGGGTGGGGGTGACATCTCTTTCTGCAGCCCTTGCCCATGGGGTAACCAAACTTTAACCCTCCAGCTGTAGTGAAACTAAAAATCCTATCATGCATCTGCCTCTGGGAGTCATGCTTGTGGCTGACAGTCTTGCAATGCCTGATAGGTCTGTGAAGGTTCTCATTCATCCAGGTCATGGTATATCAGTAACAAAAAAAAAAACATTGCAACTGGACTTGCTGTATTTTTCTTGCTGGTCATCAATTCAGAGAAAGTTAGTTGGATGACCAGCAAAACGTCTTCAAGAAAAATACAGCCAGTCCAGTTGCCTTGATTTATTTTTTACAGATAATGCATAATGGGATTTTAGTATTGGGATTTGTAGTTTCACCACAGCTGGAGGGCCGGAGTTTGCCCACCCATATTGGTCAGACCACTAAAAAAAAAAAACTCTAGAAGAGGGTATTTGGGATGCAATCTTTAAACATTTAACAACAGGTTACCTTTCTATTGCTTGTATTTACTGTGGCTCCTTCTTCCAAATTCTTTGTCTGCTTTTAAAGAGAACCTGTCACCTGTAAATTAGAGTCTTGTGTCATGCCCAAGCAAGAAACAAAGCTAACTCAGAAATACGCAACCTGTTATATAAATCACCATTCTATGACAGAAACTATTTGCCACATACCTCCCGTTTTATTTAATTTATTCCAAGTGTTCACTAAAGTGTGTTTATTTATTAAAGTTATATTGCAATGTGTGTGTTTGTTTTTTTTATTGCTTATGAGCCCATAAATGTAAGTTCTTTTTTTTAATTAGTTACAGTGGTTCTGTACTAATGTCATGAGCTAGGCAGCCAATGAGCCTAAATATTACAGCTGCTGCTTAAAGAAGAACCCCGGGTAAACATTTTATTAACCCTTGCAGAGGGGCTACCCCTGCACTGCAAGGGTTGAAGGAGAAGAGAGAAATACACTTATGCCAATAGTTAGAGCCAACGTGGGGCACTGAAGCTGTCGCACGTCGGATATATAGATTGAGAACTGAGCGATCAAATACCGCTGAAGGCTCAGTTCCTGATCTTCTCCCTGCAGAGGGAGGTGGCTGTCAGTCACGGGTCCCCACAGAGATTCCCCCATCCCCTCCCTGTTCCTCCAGCGCTGACTGGAGGGACAGATATGGCAGGGGTGGGAACAGCTGGCTCTGGATCTAGAGAGGCAGAGCCAGCCGTCAATCGGGTAACGGGGTGGATCCCGACAATATTGTATCCCGGCTGCAGCATGGCTCTACACTGTCAGCATATAGCAGGCAATAGCCTACTATTTGCTGAGTTTTGGGAGACAGGAGGACATTATTAAATGTTCTCCTGTGACCCTAAAGAGAACTACGGCCAAAAAAGAAGGTTTGGCCATAGTTCCCTTTTAAGTGCTTGTCTTTGCATAGGGTCAAAATTAACAAAGTTATACTCACTAGCTACCTGTATCCACAGAACATGACGTATTGGTGGGCCACAAGGATGAAAACGCTGATAGATGCCGTCGGCGGTTGATTTACTATGTTCAAAGACATCTGCCGAGGCTTTATCAGCCCTAGTCCCTCAGAAACTGATCTTCAACAGCCATGCCTTTAAAACCAGCGACCGTGAAGCAGAATGGCAAATCGGTCCTTGGAAAAGAAGATCCTGACGATCTGGCAGTGCCACAAAGTTTATGCCGAGAGTCTTACCAGGTCGACGCACATTCGTCTGTTCCCGTCTTGTGCAATGAGGATGCCTGAAATGCTTCCAAAAGAGCAGGGGTAGCTAAACTTTGTCCCTTCAGCTTCGGTGAAACTACTAATTCCATCATGCACCTGCCTCTGGAAGTCATGCATGTGGCTGTCTGAGTCTTGCAATGCCTCATGGGACTTGTAGTTTCACCACAGCTGCAGGGACAAAATTTGGCAACCCCCGCACTAGAAGATCCCTGTATTTGGAAACAGACTGGTCCAGTTTGTCGTTGAACCTGGAGGCCAGGAGGTCCACATCTGGGTCCTCCTAAGACACAGGTCCTGGACCACCTCCAGGTTAAGAGAACACTCCCCCAAGTCCAGCCGCTGCGAGCTGATGAAATCTGCCTGCTAATTGTGTACAAACAAATATATTGTATTCCGTGTTCATTAATAAAAAATTTATAAAATTGGACGAATAAATATGATATAATTTATTGGTCTTAATAATGGACAGTAAAAGACATATTTGTCCCACACGGCCTGTGCCAACTGTTTCTGGTATTGCAGGGGCCCCACAGCAAAGTGTAGGAATCACTAATGAGCCGAAAAGATAGCCAGAAAGTCTCCCTTGTGAAGGGAGGCAATGACAGATCTGGTAGATTTCTATTGGAATATCTGAACACGATCGAAGACATTCAGAGCTTTGAGATCCAGAGAAGGGCGCATGCCCCCTTTGGCTCGGAAATGAACAGATTGGCGTAAAAAACCCTAGAACTGGTCTGCCACAGCAGCTGGGGCAATGACAGCATGATCCAGTAGACCCAAGAAGGCACATTGAAGAACTGCTAATAAGTGTGGTGACACAGTAGGTTGGAGGTGAGGAACCGAGGTGGGGGCAGGAACGAAACACCAGTTTCAGTCCTGGAATACCAGCTATGCAAGATGTCCAAGGGTAGACAAAAGTTAAAAAAACATCCCCCCACTCTGGAAAATGGGGGATGCACCTTCATACAGAAGGTTTGTCTGAAGATTTGGCACTTTGAGTGCCAGACCCTGCAGGTGGACAGGTAGCCAAACTTAGAGGGACGC